CCATCAGAGACCGTGGGGCTGGGAGGACTTCACAAGGCAGAGGGGTTGCCTTCAGCAGACGTTAGAGATTGTGTAGTTCTCATCTACTTTGTGTTTCACGGCGGCACGGCGAGTGGATGGCATGGCGTTGGCCTGGGCTCACCTTTGCTGCCCATCCCCACCCATGGGACATTCTGGAACTGCGAGGTCTCTTCCCTGGAGGAAGCTCCTTGCGTTCGGGTGGAGGCTTTAGACTCTGGTGAGCCTAAGGAATGTGACTATTGCAGCCCCTGTGACGGTGGGTCCCTTCCAGAGGTGGGGGACAGAAGAGAGCAGGCACCCAGAGCAGGAGCCGCCCGGAGCAGGAGCCGCCCGGAGCAGGAGGGAGTCCTCTGGGAAAAGGTGTGGACGCCTCTGGTGGCCCCAGTGTGCTATCCTCAGCCACAGACCAGATGCCGCCAGGGTCTTCCCGACCAAGTTTCACTCCCAGGGGACATCTTAGAGCTAGAAGTTCAGCCTGAATGTCATTGAACTTACAAGAAAAAGGGACAATTTGTCTGTCTTTGAAAGACTAAATGCTAGTTTACATAAAATTGTGTTTATTCTACGGTAAGACCAGGGGCCACTAAGGACACAGCCCTGTGTGCATCCTGTTCAGTCAGCAACAAAATCTCTCTTGATCCTAGGGGTCAGCTGGTGGTCACTGATTTGAGTTTGGTAGAAAAGGGCAATGAGAATTGTAGAATGTGTATGTTAAAAATCGAGTTGAGCTTTGAATAGCAGTTGAAACAGGCGTCATCTGCTGCGTAGTCAAGTTCTAAGATGAGATTAGATGATTTGTGATAGAAGTTGTGACATGTTGCTTATAAGCCTGTATTTCTAAGGAATTGGAAGAAGTTGATGAAAATGTTTGTTTTTGAACATATAAACCTAAGGTTTTTTTGCCCTATCTTTGCTTAGCAGATATTTTCTTTTATGGCAAATATATTTTCAATATGTAGTAGAATCAAATGTTTTTCTTTAAAAATGTATCTATATACTTTTAAAAATAAACATGAACAATAAACTATATACATTTAGCTATGTATAATTTATTGTTCATATGTTTATTTTAAAAAGGTTAGAAGGGTATACATTATGATGTTAAGTGTAGTTATCCCTGAATAGTAGGAAAAGGTGTGGCTTAAATTTTCTTCCTTATGTTTTCTTGACTTTTCTAAATTTGTTATAATAAATGTTTGTGTGTGTGTGTGTGTGTGTCTCACATATATAACAGAAAGTAGGGGAAATCCTTTGAAGAATAGTGGAGAGATGCTGCAAAGAAGTAAAGATTTTCTTTGTTAAGTAAAATTCTAAATAATGTAAAATAGTAATAGAAAGAACTGTTTTCATATTTGCTGTATTTTTTACCACGTCCAGCTTTGTTAGGTAAATTCAGTTCTCTCTTTATTTTTTAGGTTGTATGGCTCAACACTCAACATCGACCTGTTTCCAGCACTCATGGTGGAGGACCTGGTGCCTGGCAGCCGGCTGGGCCCCACCCTGATGTGTCTTCTCAGCACACAGTTCAAGCGCCTGCGAGATGGGGACAGGTGAGCACGTGCACCAGAAAGGGGAGCACACGCACCAGAAAGGGGAGCACACTCCTAAGCCGCCTTCTCAGGGACTCCAGAGGAGAAGGGCCGTCCTGGTTGAGAATGAGGGAGGCACGAGGCCCTGGTGTCTTCTGTGCACCGCCTTGGACTTGCATGTCCTTGCAGCCTCAAAACTCAACCACACCAGGTTCAAAGATGCTTTTCCCACCCCTTCATTTGCAGGAATATTTCTGTTCCTGTAAACCTATTGGACAATCCATACAGCTAAACCACTGTGGGACTTCAGAGAAGTTTGGGCTTCGGGCAAGATCTTTGTTTTGCCTCTTGTCTACTGTTACTACTTTAATGTAGTGGAAAGGCAGAGCGAACCTGTTACTATTTCAGCAAACCTCAAATAAGTGCCGTACCAGTTTTTTTTAAAGTTGCCCATTGTCTTTGTTGCTAGTCAGAAGAGCTAACACTGTCGTTTTTACACCAGATTGTCTGCCTTTGCTTTTGTTATGGAGTAGGGGATGTGAACAGTGTGTGAGTCCATTTTTAAGTGACACCTAATCAAACCTAGTGGTTTCTGTATTGCTGTGAACTAAGTAGGGGGAGATTTTAACTCAGCTCCTGGTGACCTGTGAGTCTCCTGCCCTTCTCTGATCCTGCTTTCATTTTGGGGGATCCAGGTTGTGGTATGAGAACCCCGGGGTGTTCTCCCCCGCCCAGCTGACTCAAATCAAGCAGACGTCTCTGGCCAGGATCCTCTGCGACAACGCGGACAACATCACCCGGGTGCAGAGCGACGTGTTCAGGGTGGCGGAGTTCCCTCATGGCTACGGCAGCTGTGACGAGATCCCCAGGGTGGACCTCCGGGTGTGGCAGGACTGCTGTGAAGGTGCGTGCCAGAGGCACCACGTCTGTTCCTTTCTCATCCCTGGTTTTGGTGACTGCTTGGCGGGTGCTTAATTACCTGCAGATGTCACCCTAATCTTGAAAACTGAAAACAAAATATTCAGCTTTAGATTTAAATTGTGCTGTATCCATGCCAAAAATATAAACAAAGGTGGTGATTCTGAGGAATTGGCAGTGCTATGGGAGAACATTCATGATTAAAGCGCTATATAAGAGAAACAGAAACCCAGACTTCAGCAAGGTGTGCCCCTAATTTTTCCTTAAAACCTAATGTATGTCTAGCTTACGGTACTCATGTAGCCAGATAAAAGACAAAAATCAAAATATGAAAGAAGCATATCAAATATATCAGGTTTTCTTTAAAAAATTATACTGAATGTTCTAAATATCTGTAACGTAAATGACTGAAGATAGGTGTTGTAAAGTATCTCATGAGGAGCCCTGCAGGTAGGAGGTGCCTCATGATCGGCGTCGGGGGCCGTGTAGCTGAGGGACGCCCTGACATCAATCCCACAGCCCCGGCACTCGTGCCCTACCCTGACATCAATCCCACAGCCCTGGCACTCGTGCCCTGCCCTGACATCAATCCCACAGCCCCGGCACTCGTGCCCTGGCGCGCCAGGTCGCCTTCCCTGCAGAGGCGTCAGTGGCCTGCTGAGTGCGGCGATGGTTCTCCTGGCTGAGTTCCTGCTTCGCATTCCTAACTCCCAGCCTTGGTTAACCTCCATTTCCATTACTAATTTGAACATAATTTTGGCTTTATTCAAACTATGATCAGAGCCCCACAAAATACCAAACTGGGGATGTTTAGAACCCAGGTTGTGGAGTGCTCACTCTTGTGGTGAGAGAAGCGGGGCCCACCACCATGGGGGGATCTGGGGGCCTGCGGTGAGCGTGACGGGGAGGCGGGGCCAGACCGTGGCCTCACCCGGCGCTCTGTGGAGCTTGTGGTGTCTGTGGACACTTGGTAGTTTAAGAAGAGACACAAAGTTCAGATACTGTAGACATATTCCCCACCACCTCATTTTTCCTGAAGTAATAGTTCTGGCCCAGATCTTGTTTAATTTAGTAAGTGTTGAAATCTGCATTGATAATAGAGCTGTGTTTTAGCAGCTTCTAAGACAGCGTGTGCCTGTGTGTGTGTGTACGACTGTGCGGTATGTGTACCTGTGGGGTGTGTGTGTGGTGGGTGTGTGATCTAATTCTGCATCTGCCTCCTTATCTGCCCCCCCCCACCCACCACCCACACACATATGCAGGGAAGTATATATGATAGGAGAATTCACATAAAAAACAAAATTATGCTTGCTGGGTACCCAATTTTCCAAATCATTTACATGTTTGTTATTACATCTGTCAGAAACTTGTATCTGTTTTTTGTTTTATTGTTTTGTTTGTGTTTTTGTTTTGTATCCTCACCGGTTTATCCAATTCAAAATACTTTTCTACAAGCGTGGTAGAAAATGTGTTCTGTTGTAGAAAATTGTGCTGTTGAAAATGATTAGGAAAAGCCAATGATACAAAAACCGTTTTCTGGTAACTTTACCGGGCCCCTGTTAGCTGCTTAATAAGAAGCACAGCCAGGTTTTCTGTTCTTTTGCTAAGAAAATCCAAAGTCCTTTGAAAGACTTCATCTTTAAAGCCAGGCTTTGTTCCCCTCGGGTTACAAGCCCCTCCTCCTCTCGGGCACTGTGGGAGAGGCTGAACTGCCTGAAGCAATGGCTGACACTGTTTCTTCCGGATACTTCTCTCTCTTAAAATAACAGGCATGGCCTTAAGCTGACACAGCTTAGAGAATGCTTGATAAGCTTTACCTGTTTTTGTTTACCCAAAAGCCATATTTAAATACAGCAGAAAAATATGAAAACAGAACTCAGATTTGACAGAACCAAATGTCAGTTGCTATTTACTTTTCAATTAAACTTTTTAGAAAGACACATTGGGGGCTGGGCGGTGGCACACGCCTGTAATCCCAGCACTTTGGGAAGCCAAGGCAGGCGATTACCTGAGGTTAGGAGTTCGAGTAGAGACATGGTGAAACCCCCGTCTCTACTGAAAGTAACAAAAATTAGTCAGGCATGGTAGTCGGCACCTGTAATCCCAGCTACATGGGAGGCTGAGGCAGGAAAATCGCTTGAACCCAGGAGGCAGAGGTTGCAATGAGCTGAGATCATGCCATTGCACTCCAACCTGGGCAATAAGAGCGAAACTGTCTCAAAAAAGTAAATAAATAAAAAGACACATTTAAAATGAACATCTGTGAGGTGCAACTCTTCGTCATCGGCTTCACTGATGCCTACACCAAGTGCTGTGTGGCGTCTGCACTAGGTCCGGGAAGCCAGCCTGCTCCTGGCTTGGCCAGCCTGGGCAACACAGAGCAGGTGCAGGCCAGGCCACTGAGCAGGTGTGGCCCGGCCGTGCCCTGGGGCGTGAGGAGGAGACGGCCATCCTGGAGGGATGGGGGTCCCATCAAAGAGTTCTGGGGTTGGGGCTGATGGGTGCTTTGGCAGGGACCCCACAGTGCCTGGGACCGTGTCCTGGCCCTGCTGCTTCCCTGTCGCCCTGGAAATCTACTGGGGACCCACCCCAGACCTGCACAGCCCTGGGTGGGCCTGCCAGTGAGGCTCATTCTTGTCCCCAGGGTGTTGCTGGGAGGGGCTGCTGTTTTAGGATGTATTTATGTGCCCAGGAGCCATTTCAAGAAACTCTGCTCTTCTCTGCTCCTGAGACGATTTGTGGGTGGAATAAGCGAGGGGTCCAGCCAACTGGGTTTACTCAGAAGCTGTATAGTTAATGCGGAAATAAACAGCAGGTCATTCAGCGGGACTGTTGATGGGCTCTGCTCTGGGGGCAGACGGGGCTTTAGGCCTCTGTCTTGAAGATACTCCCTGCCTCTTTCCAGCCAGTCAGGCGAGTACTAGACCGGAAGGAGCCGGCCGCCCTCATGGGAGACAGGAAAGCTAGCGTGGGTCTGAGGTTTATGCTGCACGTGCCTCTTCTCTTCTCATAGAATTTCTACTCAGTGGCTTCCTGAGACATTAGCATTTTGCAAAGGTCCATATTTGCCCTTCACTTTCGTCCTCTGCCACAGCTTTCTTGGGTGAGGATGATGTACAAGACAGACTAAACACCCCTCACTTCGTTAGATGGTGTGTCCACAGGGCCCAGGTGGGAGACAGCACTGAGGGCCCCTCACCCGGGACTCAGGAGGGACACAGCACTGAGGGCCCCTCACTCACCCGGGGCTCAGGAGGACACAGCACTGAGGGCCCCTCACTCACC